TGGAGGGGTGCCTGCGGGGGGTGGTGCCTGCCAGCCTGCCGCTTGTGGGGCAAGCATACGAGGTGGAGGCAGAGGCGAGGAGCATGTGCTTGGGCGGTTGGAGCGTCAGCAGGACCTTCCCCGGACACCTTCCTGCCCGCCTCCGCGGGAGAGGAGCCTTAGCCCAGGCGGGGTGAAGCAATGGGGCTAAAATTGGCTCTTCCCGCACTCAAAATTAGAAGGGGTCCCACATCTGGAGGAAAGAAATTGGCCAGCAGGGGAGATGTGGGTGTGATGGCCAGCGAAATGTGTGGGTGCCGTCTTCTAAGAATCATTTGCCCAAGCGGTGGTCCCCCCACACACACCTCCCCAGTGCCACTGGCAGTCCTTCTGCCTCGGGGAACTCAGAGCTGCAGCAGCTGGGCTGCAGCACATCTGTCCTCGAGAGAGCGGCAGAGCTGGCATGGTAGGAGAGGTCGAGGATGAGGAACAGGCTGAAGATGGTGGGTGCGCTTAGGGCAGTGATACAAATCCTGCTTATTCTGCAGCCGGGTGGAGAGCAAGCTCAAGCAGTCTCCTCCAAGCATCCATCTTTTCCTTGTGAACCAAGCAGTCTCCTCCAAGCATCCATTGGTTTCCTTGTGAACCAAGGGGTCTCCTCCAAGCATCCATCTTTTCCTTGTGAACCAAGCGGTCTCCTCCAAGCATCCATCGTTTCCTTGTGAACCAAGCGGTCTCCTCCGAGCATCCGTTTCTTCCATGTAAACCAGCTCCTTTTCTGCTGAATTGAGTCCCGATGGGACTGCTCTGTGTGGAAGTGAGGAGAGGGGCTTTCCAGCTGCAGGCATGGCTAGCTCTGAGCAGGCTGCAGGCAGATTTATCGCCATGCCCCGGCCTCCGGACGAGCTCAATCTTTGTTAGGATTCACTGAGGAAACCCCCTCCTTCCCGGCCTTGCCAGGCAGATGCACGAGTCCAGCGTCCTGAGAAAGGGGTGGGTGTGGGACCAGCTCCTCGGAGGTAGGATGGGGTGTGATGGGATCTCCTGTTGCATTCCAGCACAAGGGAAAACCTCCCCATTTGCTTGGGCTTATGGCAGCCTCTGCCAGCTCTGGAGAGGCGGAGCTGATTCATCAGTGTGGGAAATTAGGCTGAGCTTCCTCTCTCTAGGACTGCATATTCTGTCTTAAACGTAAAAACACGTTTCCCTTTCTGCCCGTGTTGGTCCTTGGGCCACGCACCAGTTTGTGCCGTCGGTACCTGATGCCATGGTGATGGGCTGATCCCTGGGCCACGCACCAGTTTGTGCCGTCGGTACCTGATGCCACGGTGATGGGCTGATCCCTGGGCCACGCACCAGTTTGTGCCGTCGGTACCTGATGCCACGGTGATGGGCTGATCCCTGGGCCACGCACCAGTTTGTGCCGTCGGTACCTGATGCCATGGGAGCGAGCGGTTTTGGTTGGGTGCGTGTTTCGGGGCGGGAGGGGAGCGGAGGAAGCCCGACTTCCTCCTTCCACCAGAGACAAGTGCTGCCCCGTCTGCTGATAAGAAATCACGTGCCAGTGACTTGTGGGCTGAGATGCCTTGAGAAGGGCTCGGGGACAGTTAATCGAGTAACGCTGGGGCCCCACGGGAGCTGGTGTTCTCAGCTCTCCTCCGCGTGATGGTAGCGAAGGGGCCTTCCCTGCCGAGCCCTTGCCTGCGTGGGTCGGCGCTGAGGGCGAAGGCTCGTCTTGCAGGGCTGAGAGCCACCTCTAACCGTTCACCGGCGCGTGCCAGTCGTAACCCTCCCGCCTTGTGTCGCCCCGTGCTAGAGATCTTCCCCGTGCAGGGGCACAGAGACTGTCCCCGTTCAGGCTGCCTGCTGCAGTGTGGCTGCTTGCTCGGCGCTTGCCCTGCTGGACAGGGGGGTTCCTGAACCCCTGTACCCCGCGATCCCAACGTGCTGAACAGGGGTGTTCCTGAACCCCTGTACCCCGCGATCCCAACGTGTGTGCCTGAGCGAATGCTCGTCATGTGACAGCGAAGGGAAACTGCTGGGAAAGAAGAAAAAAGAAGCAGGGGACTGGAGAGACAAGGTTTTAGGAGACGGATTAAAGAAATGCAATGCACAAAGCACACCTGGTTGGTGGTCGAGCCGGGAGTCCCCCCTGCTCGGCTGGGCTGGGCTGTTGCTGGCTGCCCAGCAGTGGGGTGGCCGTAGTTAATGGGAAGCAGGGATGCTCCTGGTTTTTCCAAAGGGGCCTCGGAAAGCTCCTTGCCCTCCGTTGCCAGGAGAGTTGGAGTCTGCCGCAGGTTGCTCCCTAGCACACTGCTGTTGTGGGGCAGAGAAGAAAAGGAGTCCTAGCCCGGGGCTGGCTGGAGGGAGAAGGGAACCTGCTGTGTCCAACTCCCCTTGCGTGGAGCCTTGCCTTACTCTTCTTCAATGCGTGCTCAGGAGTTTGGTGAGCAGGGGAGGGCTTGGTGCCCCTCCAAGCCAGGGCAGACAGCTCTGCACAGGCTCCTTTGGGTTGCCACAGAAGTTGCTGGCGGCCACAGGGGTGTACACATGTACAACCTTGGCACAAGCTGGGTGAGTCCTGGCAGCCCTCTGAGGTCGTGCAGGCAAGAGGAGATGTTTTTTTCACGGTTTGAATGACTTCAGCCTGGCCTGGAGGAAGTTCCTTCAGACTTTCCGCCTACATAGGTTTGCCTTGGAGCTGGGGAGAGGCACAGGGAACTTCAGCACAGGGGAAGGGAAAGAATGGTTGGAAATTTCCATGTCCTGGGATGAAGAAGCCTGATGCCTGGCTGTAACAGATCAATCGAGGTGGGGAGGGCTTCAGGTCCTTGCACTCTGCACGCAGGCTTGACTGCTGCTGGGAATGAGTTGAGCTCAGCTAAGTTAAGTTAACAAAGAAAGTTTTGATTTTTGTTGGTTTGGGAGTTTTTTAGTACAATGTGGATAAAAGAGGAGTCAGATGTGACTGTGTGGGAAGAGAGGCCATGGGGTCTGAGCTGTGAGAGCGGTTACTGGGTGCCTCTCAGTGAGCTGCGTGGGATGCTCTCTGCGTCCGGAGATGGGAAGCCCCTCTGACTGGGGCAGATGCAGGGCTGAGGGGGAGCCCTGCAACGTCCCTGGCTGGTGCCTGAATAAAAGAAAATCCTGAGGCAGCAAGGATATGTGCACAGGGCTGTGAATGATTGTTAGGGAGTGTTGTACTGGCTCTGGCAAAGTCCAGGCACTATCCTCTTGCAAGAGACTGTTGTGACCTAAAGATATCGCTGTGTGTACGGAAACTGTAGCACGTCTTTTCCTCCTGATGAGCAAGAATGGGAATGTGCTCTGTTTGAAATGGAGTTGCCACAGCCAGTGGGCCTTTCAGGATGCTTGCTGCTTTTATTGCAATCATTCGTTTTGCTACTTGGCCCATGTCTGTGAAACCAGCTCCATCTGCCTGAGATGGGCTGACCTGCTTTCTGGCTTGGCTCATCCCTGCAGTGGTGGTAGTGCAGGACAGACCCCTCGTTTCGCAGGGAGCAGCCCACGTGCAGCTGGTGGTTAGTGTTTGCGCAATCCAGGACCCACCACCTGCTCAGAAGTGGAGCAAAATGCTCAAACGTGTGGGTGCAGAGTCTAGAGGATGTAAGGCCAGGGGTGCAGTACGCATGTGAACAGGGGCACCTTCATCTCCCCACCTCCTCCTCCCCCACCTCATTGAACAACGAGGTGCCCACAGCCCTCCTGCAACACCTCCCCTGCCAGCCAGCCTCCAGCAGCCCTCATCTGCCAGCACCAAGACCAGACCCTCTGCAGAGCACCACAGGAAAGGTAGAGGCTGTCTCCCCTGCTCACCCATCACTTCCCACCCCTCCCTTTGGCCGCAGGAGCAGCGGGCTGGAGATCAGAGGAGCTGAACCCAATGGCTGAAGGGGCTTTGTCCAGGGAAGGGGAGAAGAAACCTGCAGAATTGGAGACCCAGGGCAGGAGCAGAGGACATGGGGATGAGCCTACAGCTGGCTGGGATCTGCTGCTCTCCTGGAGCTGTCAGAGGGCAGCTGGCACAGTGTTATGGAGCCGTGCAGCGTGGCATTGGTATGCGGGGAGGAAGGGAGCCGGGCTGGGCTGGCGGAGGGCTGCAGGCAGGACAGAGCCGTGCTTGCTGAGCTTGCTGGCAGAGGTTCATGCTGATGGCTGAGGAAGCGGTTAGCAGTGCAGGTTACAGGGCTGGAACAGGAGAGCAGGGTAAGCACGGAATTCCCCTGCTGTTTTCCTCCTCTTTCACTCCTCTCTGTTGCTGCTGGGGCCGTTTCCTCCCCTGAACAAGTTTCTCTTGTGCAAATTGTTTGTGTGATTTCCTACTGCTCCGCTCAGCCAAAATAAGGAGCCGGGAGTGAACTGTTCCTGCTGCAGACAGGGACCTTATCTAGAGAGGGAGAAAAACTAGTCAAAGCAAATTCTGCTGAATGCTGGATCCCTTGTCCTGCGTGCTTCTGGGGTGAGATAGCAAAGGGAGAGGCTGCTTTGAGGACAAGGTGTCTTGCTCCACAGATGGGGGGATCTGCATGGTCAGCCCCTTTTCTAGAGGGATGGAAGAGGATAGCAGGAGAATTGGTGGGACTTCATCAGTTCTGCCTGTGTGTCAGAGCTGGGTGTCACCCTTACCCCATTCTCCTGCCTCCAGTCCTCAGGTGTGGACACTTTTCCTACCAGGTGCTTGAGGTCACTCAGAAACCTGGGAGGTGGACAGCACTGTGGCAATGGATGCTCTCCTGTGCCTAAACTAGGACCACCTTAGGCATGGTGTGCTCAGACCCAGGAACATCCCCAGGGACAGCCCTGACCCCTCTGCTCCGGGATCATTATCTCTCGGATGATCACCTTGACCCAGGGATGCCCTGTGCCCCGGGGACCTGTGCAATTCGGAGCGCTAACAAGCGCCCTTGTGCCAGAACAGAGCTGGTGAGCAAGTGGAGAAGCTGAGAACGAGCCCAGCAGTCTGTCCTACTAGGTTGGCCACATTTCCCCCGCCCACCGTTCCTCCGTTCCCTGCCCTTTCCAAAAATCCCTGCAGGGCACCCACTCCCGTGTCTGCAGGCAGGCGCGTGGGGAGGGAGGGAGCAGGGAGGCAAGGGAGCGCAGAGGAGAGGCGTGCAGGCAGCAGAGCGAAGGGCAAGGGTCTGAGCGTGGTGAGGTGGAGGGCTTGTTCTGGCGAAGGCCACGGGGCCGTGGCTGGGTGAGGAGGGGGGGCTGGCAGCCAGCGGAAAAAAAAAGGAGGGGTGGCTGGCAGCCAGCGGGTACCTCTGCATCGCCGAGCCCTGTCTCCGGGGCTCAGCTGTGAGCACGGCGCGCCAGCACGCAGCAGCCCGTCAGCGCCTGGACCACGCGGCTGCCGTGGCAGAGAGAGGGTTGTGCTTGTGGCCTTGGCGGAAGAAAGCAGAAACTGGCACCATGCCTGCGCCTTGGGTCTCCTGGGCATAGGAGGTTTCCCCGGTTAGCAGCTGATCCCAATTCCTGGCTGGCACCACTGCCCGTGGCACGGCGTGCCTGGGAACCCACGCGCTCGTGGTGGGCTCATCCCAGCCCGGCGGCCTCGGCACGGTTCCCCCAAGCAGCTCACGGCTCTCTCGGCCGTTTCAGGAAGTCGAGGGCTGGCACTGAGGAAAGGGGGGAAAGAATGCAGAAATGAAAGCGCAGGAGGAGGCTGCGCCCGCCCGGGTGGAGAAGGAAGAGGGAGGAGGGGAAAGCAACCCTTCAAAGCAGGCAGGTCCCAGCTTCAAGGTGAAAGCCTGAAGCTCTGGCCGGGTGGGGATGGTCACCCCCATCGCCTCCATGGCATAGATGCCCGAACTCGCTCGGCGTCAGCTGAGCCTCGTTGAGCTGCAAAGCCGCCCAGGCCAGGAAGAGCGAGGTGCCGGTGGCGGCGGCGAGCAGCCCCGGGGTTTCCATCTCCCCTGGGTCACTGCCCCGCTTGTCCCCACGTGATGGCGTGGTGTGGCGTGGGTCATGGCAGGGAGGCCGGGGGGGATTCCTGGGGACGCAGGGGCTGGATGCCAGGGGACACGACCCCGGGCGCTGCTCTCTCCCCTGGGAGCCCAGCGTGGCTCCGGAAAGTGAAAGCAGCAGAGGTTTAAAGTTCAAGCCGAATTGCCTTGGAAAGTCCCCCGCCCGAGCAGCCTTA